TCATAATGTTGAATTTAAACACGCAAAAGTGGAAAGAAATCACCAAAAATTGACAAACGTGATTAATTTCAGTTGCTTTTGCCGGCCAACACGTGAAAATAAAATATTAACTGCTGCATTCTCTCTGCTGTTGCGTGTATATATATTATCCAGTAGCAATTCCTTCTCTTTCCAGAAGCTGCCCATTCTCAATTCAGCCACTATTCTTTTACTGTAATTTTTTTTGGTTAATTAAATAATTAATTTGGAGGAAAAAGGAGAATGTTCATCTCACTGGACTCTGATTAACCCCCATAGCATGCAAGCAATGGAAGTTTCTGGCTCCATCCATAGATAGACTGATGACTAATTATATATTTCCTTCTGCAAATTGTATATTTTTACAGGATTCTAATATACGAAGGGAGGAGGGAAAAGCTACCATATATAGCCACACAATTCTCCTTATTCTGGTGTAGAGAAATGTTTACATAGAGATGCACCAACCTAGGCTTTGACATGGAATTTCAAACAGGAATTTTTCCATGAGATCCTCTCCAAGGATCTCCCCGAGTTTTTCCTTTAATATTTATTGAACTTTAAGTAAAAGAGCATTATACCATATTTGAAGCACAACCAATCTGGCCATTTCAAGAAATAAAACATAGATGGAAGAAAATGTGGTAATTTACCAGTTCCCATCCATCCTTGCGTATAGCATCTCTTTCATTCTTCCACTCGAAATGACCATAATTGTCAACTGTAACAATCAAACTACAAATAAGTTAATATTTTAGCTAATAAAGTCTAAATCTTCAATTCCCATATTTGACACATTTTGGACAGAAAACAATCAACCGTGCATATCCTTTAAAGAAAATTAATGTAAATGAAAGAAAGAAAGAGATCAAATGAATTAATCAAAAAACTAACATGGAAAAAAAACTAATATTGTTGATTTCCCAATTCATTTCACTCTTTTGTCACAATTATTGGCTTCCAAGTCTTGTCCTTCCCACCACACAGCCCATAATTGCCAAATATTTTAAAATGTAACAGGGGTTTAACAGTGGTTCTCCATCTCCTCTTGGAAGATTTGAAAATGGTAAGTGGTCATATGCAATGCCCCAGCAGTTTTATGCATAGTTCTGCCCAATTTCTAGGTGCTTCTTGTTGGTGATATTCGAATTTAGCCTCAGAACTTGGGGCTGTTTCGACTTTGTCACAACTTTTTGGTAAATTCGGCCAGCTTGATCAACAGCCTACCCGCCTAGGAGTATCAGTCTTGGGTTTGTCCAGCCTTGCATTCTTATACCCTGGTCTTTTGGTTTTAAGCAATGATATGGGCTATGCTTTGGACACCAAAAATGCAAGTGTGTTGCCTATTTACAAGTCAAGCAAATGAAAATTCCCCATCACATAATGCTGCCCAACAGGAAAAGCAGATTTTGTTTGTTTACCGCCTTCATCATTTGGTAATCTCGTATTCAGCTATGCAGTTTTTATTAAATCTGTCAATATTCAAGAGTTTATCTTCGAAGAGTACAAAAATCGAAGTATTACACTTAAAGTATTAGGTTGCTAAAGGAATAGCTAGTTTCTAAAATTTTAAAAAAAGCTAACACTATCCAACTGAATGCATATCTTTGTATCCTTTGCTTCACAAATTCGACAAAAAGGACGGTTGGCCCCCACAGTATAAGATTCAACAGAAACGAAGGAAATCAATCCGGCAGAGAGACCAATCATTATTCTCAAAGATTTTATATTCAGTGAAAGAAGGTTTATAGCTCTGATACAAGGGAGCATATAGAGCATTCAACTAAATCTTTCAGCATTTCCTTCAGCCTTATTGAAAAAAGAAAAAAAAAAAGCAAAATGAGGATAACATTCACAGCACATAAATCCGACAGAGGAATTACCTTCACAGTCGCGGCGGTAGTTGGGCTTCTGGAAATTCCTCTTTCGCAGATCAAATTAGGTGGAAATTTGGGTGATTTTCAGCCTTCAATCGAATTTGGGTTTTGGGAACTTGATTTCTAGGGTTCTTCAATTGTTCGATTTCAGTGGGAGTGGAATAGGGCTCCTTCAATTGAAGGTTTTGTTTTCATCTACACAGCTTAAACTCACCTTTCACCGGACAACGCTCATTCGCGAAGATGTTGAGGGGATCAAGGGTGTATTTGCATTTGATTTACTAATCTTTGTTTCAACTTTTCTGGAAAATAAATATTAAAAAGGGTTCAGCAAAACAAAATTAATTTTAAATGTACATAAATAACTAACCATAAATACAATAGTAACAATAAAAAATTTGAACTTGTACTGGAGATCAATATATCTAACAAGAAAGAACATCCCACAAATTGCCTGATTTATCTAAATATTAGATCAAATTCAAATTATTTACAGAGCAAATATACCTATTTTTATTCGAAAATGCAGCTTAAATTTTAAGAAAGTCCATGCAAATTAAAGATCAAATCTCAACAAATAAAAAAACCAATCCAAAGAATNTGTATTTGTGTACAATGGGAGGTAATGGAAAAATGAGAGAAGGGTAGTGGGATACGTTCAGATTGGTGATTTGTGAGAGAGGATTCCAGCTCGCAGAACTTTTCTTTACAAACCAGCACCCTCTCTCTCACCCTCTCTCCGAATTATATATCTGATAACCTCTTATTGGAGACAATCTCTTGCGAAATCCCAAACTTCGCGATCTCGAGCTCATCATCCGCAATTTCTGGGAATTTTACAGCCTTTTCGGATCACCACCCCCCAAAGCAAGAAAAAGGGTGACTCTGCTTCAGAAATCAGAGAAAGGATGGAAACTCAAGAAGCCTGCTTGCTTGCACAGTAAACATGATCAATATATGATAAGAGTTACAAAAGAATCAAAATGAACGCCATGTTCAGTATGAGAGAAAGACGTTTTCCACAGAAAAAGAGATAGAATTCTCTAACCAACGTTACAAAAAAATTAATCCGTCGTTTGATAGATACGGGGTTTCACTTTCACTTAAGGGTTTCACACTTTCATTTTCCCTGTTTCACTTTCACAATTCACAAGTAATGCAAACACAAAATAATCAATACAATAATCACTTAATCAATGATCAATCATTACTGTAAACTCGTTTGAAGAAAAAATATAGAAAATAAAACTCACGTCTCCCATAAGTTAATGAAATTCATAAAAATTGGAAATTTCTTATACATGACTCACTGTGATAATATAGAAAATTAAGGATATTGGTTCAATCACCATAACATATAAAAACCAAGGAGTTCTTAATTTCTTCAAATCCAAATTAATATACCATAA